CTCCTGCCCTTCCTCCACCTCTGCCTCCAAACACATTGGATGTGAAATAAAGGAACAACACTTTATTGTTTGGGTTACTCAACTTTGGGGGTTGTTTGTTAGTAGTTACCTACCCTGACTTACACAGTCGGTGGTCAATAATTATGGTGACTGAATCTTCTAATTTCAGAGCCCAAACTTTTAATCACTACACCTTTCTTAATTGGCTTTCTGCATGTTTTCTCCTTTTATCCATAAAATAAAATTATTTTCTGATTTCAAAAGTCATATGTACTTAGAACTCAGCAACCACGAAAATAACAAACTGAATTAAAAATGGGCAATGACTTAAATAAACCATTCTCCAAAGATGATGAATATCACAAGTCAATAAGATATCACCTCACACCCATAAGGAAGGCTAGCAAAAAAAGAAAAGAAACCTAGAAAATAAGTTTTGGTGAGGATGTGAAGAAACTGGGATTCTCACAAACTGTTGATGGGAATGTGAAATGTGACAGTCACTGTGGAGAACAGTATGATGGCTCCTCAAAAATTAGAAATAGAATTGCTTTTTGATCTAGCAGTCACACTTCCAGATATATATATATATATACAAAAGAACTGTAAGTAGGAGCTGGGTACAGTGACTCACGCCGTAATCCTAGCTACTCTGGAGGCTGAGACAGGAGGATTGCAAGTTCAAGCCCAGCCAGGGCAACTTAGTGAGATCATGTCATCAAAAGAAAAGGACCGAGAATGTAGTTCAGAAATAGAGCACTCCTGGGTTCAATCTCCCGAAAAAAAAAGATATTTGCAGTTCAACATTCAGAGCAATATTATTCCTAAAAGCTGAAAGGTGGAAATGACCATTCATAGATGAATTGACAGACAAAATATGAAATATGCATACAACGGAATAGAATTCAGCCCTAACATATAAGGACATTTTGACATGTTACAAAGTAGATGGACCCTGAGGATATTATCTAAGTGAAATAAGCTAGTCACAAACCAAATACTGCATGATTCCTCTTGTCTGAGGTACTTGGAGTAGTCTAATTCAAAGAGAGAGTACAATAGTGGTTGCCAGGGGCTGGAGGAAGAAGGACCAGGGGAGCTGTTTAATAGGTATGGAGTTTCAGATTTGCAAGATGAAAGAAAAGAGTTCTGGAGATTGGTTGTACAACAATGTGACTATAAATACTACTGAACCCTATAGTTACAGAATGGCTAAGATGGTAAATTTTGTGTTATGTGTATTTTAACCACAACTTAAAAGGTTTTAATTTAAAAGTAAAATAAACCCATTGTTAAAACATGACAAAGAATAAAGGCATTAAAACATATCAGCTCAGTAGAGATGATAACTGTTGAGAGTCTTTATGTAGCCACAGTGGAATTCTCTTATAAATATTTTTTCAATCTTGGTGGCAAAGGCAATCCTCTTAAATCGGGTGAGAATTAGCCCAACTTTTGCTTCCAAGCAGACTGGAATAACTCCAATATTTTTGCTAAGTGTTTCAATTTGAATTTGGTGAATATTTTTTCTTTGTAACAAGAAGTGCAGAGCCTCAAACACAAGGCAGCGTTTTCACAATTATAATCAGTTTTAAATTCAGGACTGTACAAATTAATACCCAGAATATTTTTTCTTTTCATTCATGCACATATTCATTCATTAAATGAGTGCTTGCTTAACATCTACAGCACCAGATGCTACCATAGGGGCCCAGGAGACAGCAGCGAATAGGACAGGACCCTTACCTTCTAGTTGGGAAAACAAACCAACCCCGAAACTGCCAACTGTGATGTGCCCTGCCTGAAGGAAAGAACAGCATCCTTTCCTGTGGAAAGGATGGGACAGGAACTAACATCTGAGCTGAGACCAGGAGCCTGGGGATGAACTGCCACAGAAATTACTGGAGACACGGGAGAACATTAGGTCTTTCATGTGAAAGGAAAAGATAAATCTATGGAGACAGAGGTCAGAAGAGTGGTTCCCTGGGGAGGGTACTGTCTGGGAAGGCAGGGGTGAGCTGTCAGGTGAGCTGGAAGTAGGCTAGATCTTGAAACGGGTGATTGTGCGTAAAGATGGATTGAGCTGGGCGCCTGAGGCATGTGCACCTTCCTCTGTGAATGTTATACAAAAGACAAAATAGACAAAGTACCCCCTCTCCAAGTGGAAATGGGAGGGGAAGGAGTATGCCTGAGCAGGGAGGGGGTAATAAGCATCAAGGCCCCTCCACCCCCCAGGTAGAACAGTCTGGAGTAGCAGAAGCCCTGCAGAAGCCCTGCAGGTGGAGTGCCGAGGTGGGCATGAGGTGAGGTTGCCACGCACCAGGACACAGTGGCAATCCCTGGGACAGAGCTAAGACTGGGGGAGGGGGACAAGGCGTTTTAACATGCTACTCTATTTTTAAAAGTATTGTTTATGAGTGTGTCTTCATGTTTTACATGTACCATTTTAAAAATAAATAAACGAAGCCATCTGCTTTTGCTTTCAGAATAGTGCTTCCTGCCTCTCCTATCTGCCTGTTGTTAAGGAAATCAATGGCTTTGAAGGCCCTTCCTCCCACCCCCCATAGAGGAAAAGATTCCCCACAGGCCCCCTGGAGAGCTCCTGAGATTTCTTCTCCTTGGGGTTGAGGTCCTAGAACAACAAGGATCCCCGCCC